TGGGCATTTTACCACCGAGTCCTATATCTAACGAATATACTTTGAATGAAACTGAAACCTATTCAGAATAATTTACTCATTCACCAAAAAAACCTTTCCTAGTGCATCAGCAACTATGCATCTGACAGTGTGAAGTGCCCTAGACTATACTGTGGTTCTTTATGTACCTGGAAGGTTATGTGACAGAACTGCCTGCTGCTACTGTAGTTTAGGCACTTGCTGACTCATGATTGCGATTTTTCACTGGAGCTGGTGAAAGTATTTATAAGTATCCTCAATAATGGCAAACTCATCCTCTGAAGAGAAGATTGATTTTGCAAATAGCCAGAAGCCATTGGCTATTCATGGCCAACTTGAAGAACTTTCCCAACTTGTAACTCACAGAAGGAGAAGGAAATTGGATCCATCCTTCCAGTTGCCAGCTATGCAATGCAGGGGCAAGCCAATTTTTTTTAATCTTTTTAGAAATATTTGCATAACCAAGCTGGCTCATATAATCTGTAGTAAAGAAACAAGATGGTTATTTTAAGTGATGAGAGTTTTCTTATCTGCTAGCAGGGGCCTTGAAGACAGTCCCCAAACAGGAAGCTCAGAAACACTTTAATTATGACACCATGCTGGGAGCAAGTGTGTGTTTTCTTAGAGACACAACTTTCATTTTATTCTCTTTAGGATTTTTTGTTTGTTTGTTTGTTTTGTTAATAGCAGTGTTAGTCTACTTGGTAGCTCAGCTCTTTAGACCTATATGACAGTTGCTCCATCTTTAAATAAATCTCAAGATGTTGCCAACTCTTAGTATCTCAGCCCATTTCTTCCTGTAAAGATTCCCACACTTTACCTAGACTTCACTCTAGACTTTGATGACCTATAGAGGCAAACTTGAGTTTAATTGGAGGCATAGAAGGAGAGAGAGAAAGAACAAAGAAGCCTGACCTCTTTAACTGGAGTGTCCATTCTTACTATGTCTTTGAGTTAATAGATGGCAGACAGCTGTCTTCAACAATTTGTTTACTGTGGGTAAAGATGAACAAGTTTGAATGAAGTATCACAATGGGTAATTGCTGCTAAGATTTATCCATGTGTGGTTTATGTTGATCATTATAATGAGGACCTATTTGTTTTCTATGTGATTAAATAGCGTTACAGATCTAGGATGTTTTCTGAGAAATTATCTGACTTATTTACCTGGTAATAGATGTAATCATTTGCTAGATCTAGAGATGTGTTTCTTTGGACTTTGAAGAAAGATAAATACGTGCATAAGGATACACACTGAGTCTAACCAGCTGGATCTGCCATAGCAGTATCCCATGCTTTCCTTGACTCTATTCTTGCCTTCTCTGTCATGGTCAGAATGTGAAATGACCTGAATACAATCACATGCTTGAATGTTTGCCCGGCAGGTGACACTCTTTGGAATAGTTGTGGAACCTTTGGGAGGTATAGCCCTACTGTGGGAACTTTGGGAGCTATAGGAGCCACTGATTTAGGATGGGGTAGCATTTTATGGATAAGTACCACTTTCCATTCATTCTCAGTTTCCTACTGAGTGCAAAGTAATCATCCAGCCTAAGGATCCTGCCATCATGTCTCTCTCAGCATAAGAGTATTGCCTCAAAGTTCAAGCAAAAGTGAATAAACAAACAAACAAACATGCCATCCTTGATTGGCTTCTCGTCAGCTCTTTGATCACAGGAACTAGAAAGGAAATACATCTCTCTATCCAAATCTTACTGCGATGCAAACAGAGTACCCCATTGGATTTTAATAAACAAACCTAACTTGGTCTGGAGAGATGGTTCAGTGATTAAGAACACTTGCTACTCTTACAGAAGAGCCAAGTGATTCCCAGCACCCACTTGAGGTACCTCATAATCTTCAACTGAGGCCTGTACTGTGCTGTTTCTACAGCTCAGAATGCTGCTTTCCCACTGTTTCACTTGAGTTTCAATTACTGCTCCTTTAAATCTCAGCTATAGAATATCTTTCATTCCCCCAACCCTTCCTTACAGAGTTGGTCACCCTCTTCTTGCTCCATTATACATCATTGACTGTATATCTCAGAGCTATCACTTAAAGATTTGTTTGTTCTTAACCCATTTAAAACTTAAACTTTGGCATTTGAGATTATTTCATCCGTGACTATTTGGCTAAGTGCATATATCTCTTCTACTAGATTTTAAATTCAATGAAGTGATATACCATGTTGCTCTGCCAACTATGGAACACAGGCAGCAATAAGTAAGTCTCACTGAACAAATGCATGAATGAGAGGGTCAGAGATCTGCACGTGCAGAGATTAAGAACTGATGACTTGGGAAAATGTGGTTGAATCAATGAATATAGGCACATATTTGTGAACATATATTGACTTTAAAAAAATATGCTTCTCACAAATGGGAGGTAGGAAAGAAGGTTATTAGTTAATAGAGTGATTACGACACTATTTATCCATTCAGTCACCTTCCATTCCCTTTCATTCATTCTGATGCCGACTTAACCAAATAACTTCACAGTAACATAATCCAGGCATGTGGCCCTCTTATTATCCTGTTTGAGAGATGTGCAAGAAATCAGAGAGCAAAGTGACTAGCTCAATTGTTTGGTGGTGCCTGTTTTACACCAGCTAGAACAAGTTGATCAGTAATATAAACTATGTGTTGGACATTTTTAAATGGAATTACACTTTTGATTGAAGTTTCTATCCTATGGTTGCTAGGCAGCAAACTATAATTTTATTATCAGCAGTAACATATTTGATTTATTTTCTTACCTTAGTGAGCAACAATCCCACCTCTGCATGAAACAGAATAACTTAATTGTTGACTTCGTGACAGAAACAGTAATGCTGGAGAAGAAAATTCACGGACCGTTCTTGTGCTCTGAATAAAAGATGTAATCGGATGCAATCATTTCATTAATACACACATGGCCCTGTAATGGAAATACTGGGGACCAGATGGCCAGGAGTGGACTGAGATGAAATGAGATGGGTGTTTTCAGTTTAGCAACTAACTACTTAGCCTGTGTGGATTATATTAAGTACTTACAGAACCACATGAACACATTTCAGAATGAAATTCTGGCTTTGCGTCCAGCAGCAGCCATTCTTATCATGAGGAAAAAGCCCACTTTAGTGGGCTTGTTAAAAGCTATCGCTACTCTGCAGTTAATAGTGTACATTATTGCAGTAGGGCTCAAATTTGACTGCATATTGGAGTGAGTGTAAGCTAATTTTTTTCTTTCAAAATTACAAATGCATAGATTTTACTTCCAGGAATGCTGATTTAATTGATCTGGAGGACAACTTAGACACTGCTGGATTTTAAAGCTCCCTTGTAATTTTAAGATACAGTAAATGGAAGAATCATTGCATTTGTGTAATTCCATATTTTCACATATTGAGCCCTTTATAGATCAGTATATGAAGCAAGTGCTTTTGTGGTATGTCATTTGGAAAGGCTTAACTATCCTTTGCTCCCAAGTAGCCGTTCACATCTTAAAGCATAGCATTTGAAAAACTACCTAAAAATGTTCATTTCTTTGGATGAAGGCTTTGCAACTTAAATAAGGATAATTCCTCTGAGAGGGATAATACACTAAGTGGTTATCTGTTATTAACACCTCGTGTGTGTTCCTTTATCGGATTACTTTCCTTTGTGGTGGTGGAGTAAAGGATGGGAGTGAGTTAAGCACAGTGATAGAGAAATCAATGATCAACTGGATATGGATTCCAGGTGAGTCCCATATATGAGGTATTTTTCCAGTCTGTAATCAAGGGACAGTCTGTAATCAGGGTAAAAACATGAATATATACCAAGAGTCTCAACCTACCTAATGCTGCAACCCTTTAATACAATTCCTTATGTTGTGGTGACCACCAACCACAGAATTGCTTCATTGCTACTTCATAACTGTAATTTTGTTGTTATGAATCATAATCTAAATATCTGTTATGCAGAATATCTGATATTTGACCCCCTAAGGCATCATGACCCACAGGTTGAGAGCCACTGATTTAGACTAAACATGGAATGATTGACAAGCAAGAGTGGCTCCCCTCCAGTCTTACTCAGGTGCAGAAACAAGAGACCTTCCATAACAGTCTTTGCTGTGAGTGCTTAAGAGAGAGCAGTAGCCTGGTTAGTTGTCAAAAACAACCTCTGAACAAACAATGTCAAGTATCTAGAATTCTGACAAAATAGATGTTGGCTGAACTTCCGGAAGTCAAGAAGCAGGCAACCAGTAGAGTCCACGTGTGACTTGAACTAAAGCTCCAGCTCTTAGAGATGTCTCCTCCGGGGACTTGTTTCAATCCCATCTTATAATATTGGAAGCTTATATAAGGCAGCAGGAAGAACTCTACTCTTGAGTCTGACTTTCAGCATCATACTCTTGTGTAAAAGAAGCAAAGGGAGGGTGCATATGACAACCTAAAGATACTCTCTCAGTTTGACAATTTCTCAAGGGCAGGCCCTACCCACATGTATTTCCCCTGTAATTTCCTCATCTATTTTATACAGACTGGAAACTCAGCAGGAAGCCTAGCTATATCCTGCATGGCTGGGGCTCTGAGTGGACAGTGACAAAGAGATCGTGGAGAGGCGCGTACCCAGACGCCAGGATGGCTCTTTGGCACTGTAGCTGAATAACTTCTGAATAGCTTTGACTTAAAAGAAATCTCTTCCCGCGGGTCTAATGAGCCTCCCTGGGAAGCTCCCAGTGTGAATGGGAATCACGACTTGACATAAATGGGAAAGATTATGTGTCAGCGGGGCTGATTTGATTCTTAATGGAGTGTTAATTTATTTGCTGTGATTTCACACATCTGCTTTGGCCACAATGCCATATTACGTTAATCCCTGAGATATTACTGCGTAAGGTATATTTTCTATATACTAGGTGAATGGGGAATGTGGAACTTGTACATATTTTTTTGTTAAAGCAATACATACTCTTTTATTCAGAAGTCTAGCAGGAGGAAGATGGTAGATTTGACCATCAGTTAGAAACATGATTTCTTGAGGCTAAGTCACAGTTTGGCATTTGAGCTCAGGAGATGGCAACAGATTCTGGCCATATTTAGAACTGTTTATGATCAGTAGGTTGAACAGCTTTATTCCTCTTTGAGACAGTAAATTGTGTGCATCTTTCAAGGCAAGCATTTCCCTAAAAATCTGGGCTGAGATTTAAACATATGGAAGAGACACAAAAGATAAAAAGGAAGACATCACTTGGAACCAAGAGTAAATTTCATTTCCCACTTATATTCTTTTAAGACTCTTTAGACAGGTTAGGTTTATCCCTTCAGAAGACAATTTGATGATGTTTTCATTGGTGAACAGATGCATGTAGGCCACTGTGGGAAGTCAATCTCAGTTAACTCTGTTTGTGAATGAAATTTAAAAGACTTTGACCTGGAGACCAATCCCAAACACAATGGAGTCTTTCCCCATCACACAAATCCTGGGAGACTGCAGATGTTGGTGCTTCCCAGGAGAGATGTATCCAGGGCTCTGATCAGCTTTCCAAGGCCACCTTGCTGATGCTGATGCTGCAGCTTAAGCTTTGCTGCTGCTGCACTCCCTGGATTAGTTTAGCAAGTGCCAGTACCACAGTGAGGAGGAAAGAGTGGAGAAGAGAGCAGCAGGGACCAATAGTGAGCAAGAAGGCTTTCCCCTTCGTAACCTAGGCTACCCCTAAAGTGTTAAGATTCCCACATGGCAAATGGATCCCCTTTCCCTCTCTGTCTTTTCCCTAGAGGAAAAACAAGATCACTTCCAATCAGGGGACATGTAGCTCTCCCAGGTCTCAAGCACTAGGTGGCCTGAGTGTCTTTGCCATACTCCTCCAACAAATGCTAAAGATACTATATAAAGCATCACAAGAAATCCATGGCCCCTGTCCTCTGTGTAATGTATGTCCCAGTAAAGCAGAGGTTTATAAACCTTCATTTTTATGAGTATAGAGTTCTAGTGAGGTTTCACTTACCAGATATTTGAAGTCGAATTGGTAACAGGTTCATGTGGAACCTGTAGTTGAAGAAAATGAGGTTTTAAGCATATTTAAAGATAAGAACATACCCAGATACACCCAGTAAAAAGTGTCATTATTGGTAACTCTACAATCCATTCCTGAGTCAGAATATTCAACCCACACCCTTTGCTAGTCTCAGCAGCTTTCCTTCTAAACGAGACAATGCTTTTCCTACTTGGTTAGTGGGCATTGCTATTTGCTAAGATAGGGATTTACAAAGTGAATAAACCGTAAGTCACTGTGGTTTAGATACTCACAGGTATATATGTCTCTATGATCCAAACCACTTTAAAGTCTTCATCATTTTACATTATGTCAGTCTTCCCAACAACTCTGAAAACCCCATTTGCCAGTGTATGCTAAAGAAACACCAAGCACAAATTATGCACTCTGTTCCCTAAGGATTTATAGTTCAGAGAGAGAACCAAAGCCACGAGATCCCTCTTCACTGTAACATGTACAGTTCCCATGAACTTTCACTTACCAAATCACAGATAGGCCTGTTTTCATAGCTGTGAAGAATGGGATGGATGAGATTTCCTGGATTTGTTCTTACACTAGCAAATGTGGAAAGTAAAAATTCTCCAAATTTCAAGTGGCAAGAGCTTGTTAGCAACTCCAAAACTTGACCCTTATTTCTATAGACTTTAATTCAGCAATCTGATATGGGGAGTAGGTGTCTGTGTTCTTAACCTACCCAGGTGGTCTTCTGGACACTAAGATTAATTCTATATGTTCTATATTTAATTTTCATCTGATGCCCTTGCTTTAGTGTTGTACGATGAGATTCAAATCAGAATTAATGGGAAGAACTTTGCAGTTGACTTAATTAAGTAGCTTCAATCAGAGGGGAATTGAGAAGTCAGAATCCAGCCAGATGAAATAATGGCTTGTGGAAGCTCAGAGATGTCCAGCTGTACACAGAACCTCTTTATATTTCACGAAGAATAATCAAGGCAAATTATTCACTGAAAATGGGGTAGATTGGGCTCAAAAGAGGAGATGAAACATAGATGTGTTAAACAACTTATGCATGATTTCTGAAAATATAAATAGTTAAAGGTTGGATCTTTTCTGGATTTTTTGGTTCCAATCTCTGCAGAGACATTTGCATTTGCTTTCTCGAAGTCATTTCTACACCTCCTTCACATTCTTTTGACAGGTGTTTGGAAAACAAAACTTTGAAATTTAAAGTAATGAAATTTAAATTAATAAATATTTTAAGGTTATTTGTGTCCCATGGCAGCTTCTTACTGTCTTTAATTTCAGTTTACTATATGTATTTTCATATAGTTTACCACAGAAGTTAGAGTTTGTGCTTTTTCTATTTATTACAGTGCAGCTGACAACTAAAATTTTAATAAATATAATAAAACAGTTGTTTTTAAAATAGGGTGGCAAGAATAAGTTTTTGTAGCCTTAAAAACAAAGTACTTAGTATATCATAGGTTCTACATGGAAGCACTTTGGGTGTTTATATACCTACCAGTGGTACATGTGAATCTTCCATGTGTCATATTGAAGCATATTAAAAATAATAAACTGTGATTAACAATTCATTCATAACCTAGTGGTTGAAATTTGCATTAGACTCACTATCTATGAAGGTTTGGCAAGACCAAAGCACAGAACATGATTTTGAGTTACACAACTTATTAGGGGACATTTAAAGGCGGTTAAACAGATTGCCCTTGGTACTTCCTCATTCACCGTCCTTTGTGTTTAGTTAACTGGAAAGATTACTTTCTGCCTCCATTCTCATACATATTTTTCTGCTGAGATGATGAAGCCACCTCTGCTTTTTAACATTCCCTTTGTACCTTACTTATTTCTCCATCTTGGTAGATTCCTTTACTGCCACCCATGAAGATCTGCTTCCTCGGGCTGGAAGTGTCGACTCCAAGAGAAAACCTTGGTGCAGTCATTCCTCAGATGCCCAAGCTTGTGTTCCATCTGTAAGCATAATGCATGCAGAAGGGCATGCGTGGGGTCTCCAGGCCCGATCCTGCACCCTTCCTCTCAGTCTCAGGGCCACCAGTTACCAACTGACTCTGTTGTTCTAGAGTCAAAGCGAATGCTAGTCTAGCTTATATAATGCACATATGTGTGTGCTCCCTGTGGGCAATTAAGGCTGCATTTTATTCCTAAAACCAGCTAGCAACCCTTTCCCAGTCAGATTTTTGAAAGGATGTAAAGTACCTACTCATTGTGCTTTTGGTATTTATAAGAAACACTCCCAACTTGGATGTCTCTTAAAACTGACCCTAAGCTAATTAACGGCCTGATGTGTTTGTTTTAATTTTCTCCGGACCAATTAAGTAGATGCTGAAGGTGGAACTGACAACAAAATGTAAATTTAAAAACTGGTTCTAGAATTGGCTCATTGAGGGAGGGAGGAAAGCAAAGACTGCATAAGGAGAGTTGGGGGTGGCGTGAGACTGTGAGCTGCTGTTTCAGCTAGATGAGTAGGGATCTCCTTAAATTCAGGCTGGACCACTAACCTGGAGAGTACCCTGTACTCCCATCAGTTACGTGCAAATAAAAACACAGCCTCCTAATCTGTGCAGGAAGAAATAAGAACTCATCTTGGGCAGTCCACCGGCTCGCTGCTAGGCACCTGTTTGGTTGGCGAGTACTTTGTACCTAGATCTTCATGCTCAGAACACCTTCACACCTGCATTTAGGCGTCAGCCCGCGGGGAGTCTCACTCTAGCATCTGATCAACCCACCGAAGCCAGGACCCTCTGCAGTACTGTCGTCGGAGGCTGTCCTCTCCTGGTAAGGGCTAAAGAGAGCCCTTCCCCCACTCAGCACCACCTTCTAGAAAAGGAATATCAGAAGGCCCAGAGCAAAAGGTGAGGGACAGGCTGGGACAAGCTCAGCTGCCTACTCGGGTCCCTCTTCACTCACCTACGTGTCTGCTCCTCCTGCGGGAGGCCGGCGGGCAGGTGAGGTTACCTGGGAGCCCTAGAACCCCCAGGGGCGCTGCAGTCCTCGGTCTCCCAGTCCCCGGCGCAGCGGGGGACTCCAGACCGTCTCCTCCCCCCGCAGCGCGCGGTCGCGGCCCCTCGGGCTCCGACGCTGGCGACAGCGGCACGCCGCGCTCTGCTCCCCTCCGCCGACCTGGCGTGACGCAGGCGGAGACTACTTAAGGGCGGATTAGAGGCGGTGGCCGCGGATTCCCCAGCCCCGCAGCCAGCTCTGCGCGCCGCAGCAGCGCGGGAGCGCCAGGTGCCCGCTCCAGTGATAGGCACTGGGGCCGGTGCGCGGACCCTCCCTCAGACCGCAAGATCACGAGGAAGGCGGTGCAGAGACAGGTCTCCCGCGGGCAGGAGCTCGGCCACCTGCACGCTGCCACTCAGCCCCGCCCCTTGCCGGGAGACTGCGGGAGTCAACCTGATCCCCGGACGGCAGCGAGGTGCTGGCCAGCTCCTCCGCACCGCGCCAACAGCCCCATTGGTCGGATCGCGCATAGATTGCTTTTCCCCATTCCCCCTTTTTAAGTGCAATAAAAGGGGGAGGGGCTCGTGGATTTTTTTTTAAACATTTTTGTTTGCTTCTTTAATTGGGGGCAATTCGCTCTCGGTCAGGAGGTGCGGCCCGGGGAGGGGCCAGGACCAGGAACGTGCCCGGTACTGCCCAGTCTTTGTCTGCTGCCTCCGGATGCACAGCGATGGGGGAATGGACCATCTTGGAGAGGCTGCTGGAAGCCGCGGTGCAGCAGCACTCCACTATGATCGGGAGGTAAGGGCACCAAGCCAGACGTCAGCGGGCCCGTCGGGCAGCCCTTGGGAATATCTTCTCCCGTCTCTAATGATCCCCCAGACCCCCAACCAGCCCTCCTCCCCATCCTATGTTCAAGTGCCACTGTTGCCTGCATCAAGGGATTACCCTAAGCCCAGTGACGCCCCCCTCCTCCAGTTACTCCTGACCAGATCCCCCATACTTTCTCTATAAAACACCATAAGGGGGAAGGGGTTCACGCTTCCCTCATCAGAAAAGGACTTGTGGACTCATTCCTTGTAGCCCCCACTCTCCAGAGTCAGCGCCAATCTCCATCTGGTTCCCTAAATAGAATCTACAAGGAAGGCAGAATTGCATTTGGACAGAGAAGGGCAAGTGGGGAGATGGATTTGCTCATCACAGCAGATGCATCATTCTTTAACAGTTATTTATTAAGCTAGACCGGGTCCTCTGTTAAAACTTAATGCCAGAGAGCCACACACATAGCTGGCTTCTTTTTGTGGATATCTATATGTACGTATATATACACATGTGTATATGTATGGATATATATTTATTTGTTCATATTTATATCTACCTGCAGTTATCTATATAGAGAGACATGAATTTTGTATTCATAACTATTTCTATTAAGTGGCAATTAAGTTCTATATGTTGAGACTAGGACTTACACACGTAGTGCTTAATGCTCATCTCATGTGTAGACCCTCAAACACACATCCTCTGTAAAATTGTAAAATATCTTGTATGCATTGGCCAGAGTAAAGGTATGTTTACAGTCTCTAGACATTCTTCATATAGATATGAAATATATGTGTGTGTGTGTGTGTGTGTGTTACAAAAGAGCCATAAACAGTGCATGAAATTGGGCAGATGTGAGATTCTTGTAATATGAAATATTCCAAGCTTACCAGCACCAAGCAGAAAACAGATAAAGTTGTTTTCCAGGCTCTCAGTTCAGTACCACTCAAGGGTGGACAGCTCCCTTGGTCAAGGACTGGTAAACATTGGAACAGGACAGTTAAGGGACTTCCCATCAGTGACTTAGCCTATGAGAACCTCTTTTCCCCCCTCCTTTTCCTCTGCTCAGGATCCTGTTGACTGTGGTGGTGATCTTCCGGATACTCATTGTGGCCATTGTGGGGGAGACGGTGTACGATGATGAGCAGACCATGTTTGTGTGCAACACCCTGCAGCCCGGCTGTAACCAGGCCTGCTATGACCGCGCCTTTCCCATCTCCCATATACGTTACTGGGTCTTCCAGATCATAATGGTGTGCACCCCGAGTCTCTGTTTCATCACCTATTCTGTGCACCAGTCGGCCAAGCAACGAGAACGTCGGTACTCTACTGTCTTCCTAGCCCTGGACAGAGACCCCACTGAGTCTATAGGGGGACCTGGAGGACCTGGGGTTGGGAGCAGTGGTGGGAGCAAACGAGAAGATAAGAAGTTACAAAATGCCATTGTCAATGGGGTACTGCAGAACACAGAGAACACCAGCAAGGAGACAGAACCAGATTGCTTAGAGGTTAAAGAGCTGACTCCACACCCATCAGGGCTGCGCACAGCAGCAAGGTCCAAGCTCCGAAGACAGGAAGGTATCTCCCGCTTTTACATCATCCAAGTGGTGTTCCGAAATGCTCTGGAGATTGGGTTTCTGGTGGGCCAATACTTTCTATATGGCTTCAGTGTTCCAGGGCTGTATGAGTGTAACCGATACCCTTGCATCAAGGAGGTGGAATGTTATGTGTCTAGACCTACTGAGAAGACAGTCTTTCTGGTATTTATGTTTGCTGTGAGTGGCATTTGTGTGGTGCTCAACCTGGCTGAACTTAACCATCTGGGATGGCGCAAGATCAAACTGGCTGTCCGTGGAGCCCAGGCCAAGAGAAAGTCAGTCTATGAGATACGTAATAAAGACCTGCCTCGAGTCAGTGTTCCAAATTTCGGCAGGACTCAGTCCAGTGACTCTGCCTATGTGTGAAAAAGCAGGTTTGGGGAAGGCCTGCTGGGTGGCAAGTAGCCCCAAGGCAGATGATGACTGGAAGGTAGACAGACCTGCCCTCACTTATGTGATGCTTGCTGTCAAGGTCTAGTATACAGATGTTAAAGGGTCTTCATCAACAAAGAGAAAACGTACAACTGTCATCATACGTTACACTGTCAGTTCTACAGAGACAAATTGGGTAGAGATGACTGAGCTGGACTTCCTTGGGCCTTTCTCTGTAATGGTCCTTCCTGCTTCTGACAATAGTGGACTGGCACAGCTGCCAAGCAAGACTTAGCTCTGCTGAGCTCTGTATTCTGGTGAATGGCATGAGTCAAATACTCATTGATATAAAATTTGTGACCCATCTCAGCATATCCCCTTATCCTGGGCTGCAGAAAAAAACATCCCTGAGGATCTTTCTTTCCCATCAGCATGCCCCTTTCCCTCAAACCCAGGATAGCATGCCAGCTTTTCTGTTTCCTTGATCTGGCCTTACATTAGCCCTAACACAGTTTATCTGCAAGCTAGAGGGAATTACATGGGGTGCTTTTTGGAGACTGGCCAGGGCAGAGGTTTGCAGTAGAGCCAGTCCCATATGACTGGTTCTTAATCATTATGAAAACCTTAGGAATGTCTCAATATTTCCAATTTTTTTTAATTCAAATTGCACTGGTGCTGTTTATTAGGGGTGGGGGATGGGAGGGAGGGAATATCACCAACACTTTTGTGAGATGGTCACTTCACTGTTGAGCATGTGTTTATGAGCTTTGGGATATTTCTGCCTTCTAGTTTATGGACTGTGGATAGTATTAACAATATGGTTTTTGTTGAAATGGAGGGTATCTACTCAAGCCACAGAATTTCTAACGTAGATATTACTCATTTTCTTACCTGCTTTTGTTGTGCTACACAGCTGCACATCATTTTGCCATGGTTTGGATTTACCTGTGTGCTCACACCAGAGACCTTAATCAGCCCATGTCAATCCCAACTTATTGCATCATCACTTATTTTTTTGAAACACACACACTCACATGCGTATAGTCACTGGCTTAACAAACTTGGAAGTAAACATTATTGGTTAATATGTGTTTATGGATACTTATTTGAGACATATACCAAAGGTTCAAAAAACCTGTTGTGTGGACTGAGACAATTTTCCTCTGTTGCTC